TACGACGGACGTCGTAAAGTTAAAATTAAATTTTAATTTATTTACTAAGAATAACTAATGTAACTAACTACATACAGTATGCTATATATATATATATATATATATAACAATAAACTAAGGGGGAGGATCAATATTATTTCCTACAGTGGTTTTACCTTGCCATAATTATTATATTAAAGATTCAAATTATTCTTTAATCCTTTTATGTAATGTACATAAAAATACATACACACACATATATAACAGTTGCATATTTATATTGTTATAACGTGCTCTAATGTTGGGCAGGTCCTTTTAGATTATTTGGTAAACATAATGCCAAGTTTAATCTACGTAACGACAATAAATGAATTAACTTCTTCAAAAACATTTGCTATAGGCTGCATTCATGGGTATGTCTAACTGTATGAATAATGTTTGAAGAGCAATTACGAGAGTAGTGGTACTTATGTCTAACTTACTTGCTGTCGATAACAAATAAGCTAACAAGTCTACTGTTTAGTTCACTAACTGAATCATAGAACTGAATAACTAAATAACTCACTGTCTGGCGCTGAATACACAGCAATTCTGGTGTTTATATTAAACTCTTGTTTCCACATTTTGCATGAAAATTCTAGATTATACAGAGGCATTATCTTTCACGATCTTTCTAGCTATGATCATACACCCTCTAGTAAACAAATATCCAAATTAAAATATTTAAAAAAATACCTTACAGCAACCCCCATTCCTCGATTGTGGAACCCCTTGGACAATCCCAATGTGCGAATAAATAGTACATTGTCCATTCACCAATTATTTTGATGGTTTTCTTTTCTGAGAATTATAGTATGCAGATGGGTTACCCCTTGTCTCTGACCATCACATGCTGTTCTGTCCAGGTAGATGGTTGAATGAATCCTTGGTGATCCTCTGGATGTGGTCTCGACTTGAACTCTGGGTTCTTCAATAGGTTGAGTTTCCACTGACAAATTCTTCTTTAAATTTACCCAGCTTGCTGTTCTCTCACTGACATGCTTCCAAAGATGATCATAGCAGATGACCTTTGGCTTTGACTACCTGTCATTCTGGATTCTGTAAATTATGTCATTGATTCTTTTCAGTGCAACATATAGCCCTTCCCAATACTTTAGAGTTAATTCTTTCTTACAGTGGGTATATTATACAGCCATACCATACCACCTTGGTGAATCCAGTCTTATCAGCAATAACATCATAGGGACTTTTCATTTTATCATTAGATGATTTACGTCTATCCTGTGTTTAGTCATTTATGACTTCTACTGTGTTCCTTAGTTTCTATGTATGTTGTTTGCTGAGTGACTATCTTCCACGTATAAAATACATAAGATCCAGTTCATCCAAGTAAATGTCTACAGGATTTAAAAGTATATGGTTGTATCTATCCACCATACTATCAGAAGATGGCTGAAAAGCTTCTGTCCACGAATTTTTAATCCAAAGATATGACACGTTTTTTGCAAACAAGGCTGATTCAAAATTCTTTTTTGATATTTGTGAAGTTTCATAAACACTTCACATTTTGAAGCAAATTCATGAATAAGTTTCATTGTTAGAGTTTCTGTTTTCTGTTACTGTGTGGTAGAAGACAAAGCACCTCAGTATTAACTCTCTCAACTAGTGTTTCAACACAATACTGCTGTAGCTACCTAAGCTGTTTCTTTTGTGAGCTTTTTTGCTCATATCATGGTTCACATGATTTACACCAATTCTCTACAGATCTCCAGCACTCAGCCCAACAGAAACATTTTCTTAATCTGTTTATTGACTTCTTACACCTACGTGTCCAGTCATTTGAAGGTTTTAGAGATTAGGCGTGATTTGGATTGTAGAAATGTTAATTGTAGTCGTTGCTTTTTGTCCATTGGTATCTTCCCATTTCTGGCATTAAACCTTCTTACAGATGTAATGAATCCCACTGTGCCCAGTACATATTTGCCTTCAAGTTTTATGGAGCATCTGTTTGTCATTAGGGGTATTCAGCACTGTTCTTGCTCCACTGAAAAAGTATTTTAAAACTTGTATCTCTTGCCTCAGCATCTTTCAACCAAGTGTTGGACCATATTAATTCTATATCATTACTTGGATATCTCCCATATTGGATTATACTTTGTTTCACTTTAGGTGTTGGTCAAATTTATTGTTGCATATAACATTTTTTCACAGTGTTTACATTCTTCGTCAACACAGGGACTTTAGGACAGAGCATCAGCATTTCCATGGTTTCATCCAAGTTAATGCACAGAGTAAAAGTTCTACTCCTGAAATATCTGAAAACATATTACTAGCTGACCCTTTTGATTAAGAAAATTCACCTGCCGTATCAACCAATGCTGCATGATCTGTTAAAAGTGTAAACTTTTGTTTATGTAATTAATGATGACGATGAAACATAGGGTTCAAAGAATTTTTGAGTTATACAGTACTTCCTTTCTGCATCGTCCATGGACTTGGTATAGTAGGAAATCACACATTTTTTCCATGTTGTACTTGTGATAACACTGCACTCTCTCTCTGCAAAAGAATTGGCATCTTTATCTAATATGAGTGGATCTTCAAGAGTTGAGTATGCTAATACAGGAGTAGTTGTTAATTGTTTCTTCAGTTTGTTGAATGCTTGTTCATACACAGAAGTCCAACAAAAGATATTTGTTTTTTTTAATAATTTGTATATAGGATGAGCTATGTCAGATAATGATTGTATCATGTTAGAGATTTATTTTAGTTAAAGCACAGTCCAAGAAACCTATTACCTCATGCAAGTTATTTAATGTTGGCCAATTCTGGACAGATTCAATCTTGGATGGATCTGTAGACAAGCCATCTTTGCTAGCTATATGTCCCAAGAAACTCACCCATTGACGAAATAATAAACATTTTTGGGGGATACGGCTTAAAGTTCTCTTTCCTCAACTGATCCTGAACTCTCATTGTCCCATCATACTAATTGTCAAATGTCGTCTCATGTGTGATTATGACATCTTAGTACATGAGCACAACGTTCCAGGACATTTGTGACAAAGCATGCTCTATTAAAATGTGCAGGAGCATTACTAAATTCAAATAGTAACAAAAACATTACCACAGTCCATTTCCGGCAGTAAAGGTCGTCTTTTCTCTACTTGCTTCATAAAATTGCACTTGCCAATATCTACTCTAAAGATCCAATGTTGAAAACCATTTTGGTAGAGAATTCAAAGTAGAGTCAATCCTTGGCAGTGAGTAAATATCCTTTTTTGTGACTTCATTCTCTTTCTGATAGTCCACACAGAATCTTATAGACACATCTTTCTTCTTCACAAGCACAATAAGTGATGCAAGAGAACTATAACTCCTTGTTATTCTGTGGTTACTATCTTTGAAAACTTCAGCCTGTTTTATAAGTGGGAGCAGTTTGTCTAAATTACGTACTGAGGCTGAATCTACAGTATCAATTTTGTGAGATATTTTATTTGTTCAGCTTAAATCATGAGGTCCTCTGGGAACGATATCTTAATATTCCATGAGCAAGTCATGTAATCTAATGCATTAATAGTTGTAAGACTTCAGCAGCTCCAGTTATACAGTTCATGAAAGTGAGATGATAAGTTGTCCTTATGTAACATTTTGACTTCAGACTTCCTACTTCTTGTTTCAAAGGTGATATTTCTGACTACCTGATTAAGTTCACATTTTGCCACGTCCCATCCACACTTGGCACAAATACTATGGATTGCTGTGTTTATGACCATAATGATGATGATATCTTTATTTCTTAGATCAACAAGAGTTTCCTAGATGTAAATTTATTCTCAATGGTACAATTCATAGTGGAACAATGACTGCCGTCCTTGATGTCACTGGAATTTCAACCTCTGATGTTCTAATTGTCAGGTGATGCACAGGAATTTCCTATTCAGAGCCTGTGGAGGTATTTGAAGCTAGCCTAGCCTCACATCCATGTCTTCAGATGAGTTAGTTCCCAATGTTGACTCTTCCTTCATGTCAATTACCCACACTTCGTGAGACGTAGAGAAATATCTTACAGTAAGGGTAACTTTCAACATTCCGTTTGCTGGAACTTTATGTTCACTTGTTGTTTGTATCAATCCATCTTCTTTATTTATCTCTTGAGGCAATTTCCCTCATTTCATTACCATATCGGGTCGGAAGATTGTAGCTGTATAACTATTGTCAATCAGTGTGTTGCTAGGTTTCCCGCTAATAAACCAGTGGACTGGTTTCTATGAAAAGTGAACTTCGTATATCACTTGAGATAGGTACAGTATCCCCAGTAGAACTTTGCTCCAGAAGTCCAGCTAATTCCCGTTTATCGAAAGTCCAGTTCATGTAATGATAATGAATTAATTTATTTTTCCAATAATGTTTGCTACAGACTCCGTTTATGGGTAGGCTTAATTTGACAAAAAAAATTTTGAACAGAAATTCTGAGACTAATGGTACGTATGCCTAACTTATAAACTTACTTGCAATCGATAACAAATACGCTAAACACTCATTACTTAGCTCATTAACGGAATTATAGAATTGAATAACTCACTAACTGACACTAAACTAAACAACTCATTGACTGACTGAGTTCTTTACTGATTCTGGTATTTATTAATGTACCTTCGTTTCTACATACTGCATGAGATTTCTAGATTCTACAGAGGCCTTAACTTTCATGAACTTTCCAAATATTGCATCATGCGTTCTCTAGCAAATGAATAGTTCAATTAAAATATAAAAAACACAGTTTACAACAATATCAGTAATGTTTGCTTTTTTATTTTTAAACATAAAGCTACACAAAAAGCCATCTGTGGTCTGCCCAATGCAAATATCGAAATTCAATTTCTAACATTATCAGTACACAGGCTTATCGCCTAGCCACCACTGGGGCATATCAATAAATATTGTTTTTTGTAGTAATTGAAAATAACTGAGAGGTCAGATGGCATAACAATAAAAGACGGGCTGAAACAAAACTCTTAAAGTTAAAAGTCACTGAAAATTAATAATTCCTCTAATGTATTATCATAAGCTAGGTACAGCCATACTGACTTACATAAAGTCAAGCTATCATTACTCAATAAAATAAAAACCTTGCAGTTCACATGCGATGCTTATTGTATATTGTAAAAAGTACATAGCCACATCAGTCACCAAAAAATGGACTTCACTGTTCACAAGACCTTGAGATTGGCTACCTAACATCTTCAGTTATAAGCTCATATTCAGTTATTCCTGCCAAAAAATGGCGTTTTTTTGCTCGGATCTGCTTGTTTACCTATCTGCGTTGAGTGTGGTTTATGTATTATGTAGTGCATTTTGATAAATCTTAGTACTTCAGCTCATAAAAGTGTTCGTGTTGGAATGCATATATCTATGTTTTCATATACCTCAATTCTATTTTGGAATATTTCAAAACAATAACAGCGTACTTCAGTCTAGAAGTTTACAGATTTCTATTTTGGAAATTCACTGTGATGAATATATATATATATAATGACATTCTTGGTTTTGTTGTAATGGTAAAATTACTTTAGTGATTACTGGAAATTTTGATATGTCACAAATTTTACAATTATGTAAAGATAATTTCAAAGGTTAAATATGCGTTTTAAACTGCAGAAATTCGAATTAATACGCTTTATATACTGTAGAAGACTCCAAAACACATTGTCTCGTTAAAGGTAAGTTCGATTGATTTGGAATAACGTGGATCACAGTGTTATAGTGGTTTTTGTGGTATGTTTATACAACTAACTTCTTATACATTTAGATTAGATTTCTTACATGTCCGTATTTTACTTCTGGTTCTTGGTTTGAAATAGAAAGTCTGATTTGATCAATCTTAAACTTACATAATAGTTACCATTCTAGTCTGTATCTGTTGTCTCGTTGGTCTGTTAAGACTTGATGACTTGTAAGATTTCCAACTAGTATGAGCCCTCACTTCAGTTTCTTTACACTTCTCTTCCTTTGGTTTTGTTTTTCTAAAAACCAATATACTTATTTTAGTTCGTTATTACTTTTGGTTCTTAGCTCTCGGTGGCTCAGTGTTATTCTTGATGTTTACAACGCTAAAATTCAAGGTTCAAACAAACAAACTCGTGTTCCTTCACAAGGAATAACAAGAAAACCCATCAACCAAATTCTAAAACCTTCTTTTACGATAAAAACTCGCTTGTGGGCAAATATTCTGTCATCAGTCTCAGTTTTGAATCCCATAATTACGCTTTTCTCAGCAATTTAATGGTTATTGATTTTTTATACCTCAAGTGTTATTTATGTTACAAACATTTGGGAAGAAACTTTAAGATGACCAAGGGTCAGTTATTTCCTTTTAATCCAATTTATATCAAAAATATAAACATTTCTGGCTGTTTCAAATAAAACAAGTAATTATTAAAACCTTAGACATGCATGTAAACACTGAAATTACTATAAGGAATTCCAGTCTCTTCCACCCTCTCAATAAGCACCACCGACTGTTACCTTTTGTAGAAAGGAGTATTGAAACTACCATTGAGATTACACCCTCTTCACTCAACTGTGAATTTGAGTACAAAGAAGTAGAGAAACTGTCGGTCAAAATTACATCCCTCTTTCTTCTATAGTATCAGTGCTTTACTCTTCTTTTTAACTGATAGAAAGAAGTAGAGTAACTATCGGTCAAAACTTCCCTTACTTCGCTAGCCTCAGTGCTTTACTTGTCTCTTTATCTTATAGAAAGCAGAAACTATACCATCGGTCATCACCTATCTTCAATGTTTTACCTGTCTCTTTAAATTGTAGAAAAAAGTATAGAAACTATTAGTTAAGACTCTACCCTTCCTTCAGTAGCTTTAGTACTTTATTTGTCTCTTTTTCTTTCAATAGTTTTAATTATTTACTTGTCTCTTTAACTTATAGAAAGAAGTAGAAAAAACTATTAGTAAAGACTGCCCCTCTCACTTCCTTCAATAGCTTTAGTACTCAACTTACTTCTTTAACTTATAGAAAGAAGTAGATAATTTATCGGTGAAGACAGCATCCCATTCCTTTAATAGCTTCAGTGTCTTAGCTATCTTGTAACTTTTACTTTTCTCTTAACTTATACAGGAATATAGAAACTATCAGTCATATTGCATCCCCATTAATATCCACTCTTATGATATCACCAAGTTTGTATGTTGTGCCAGTCAACTGCTAGATATATTTTACCATAAGAGAAAAAACAAACAAACAATTATTGAAACTATCATTCAGTCTGAAAGAAATCCAGAGTTCTATGCAAAGTTTAGAAATGCACTTCATTGACACAAAAAAAAACTAGATCGTGAAAAAAGTTTTAAATTCCCAACAAAAGTTACAATAGATGTTGTTGTTTTTTCTTGTTGTCGTTCGTTTACGATTTTCTACTATACATTGTTATTTTCTGTACTAACTTTAGTAACTGGGTTTTTGGAAATCTTAAAGAAAACGATGCCATGTAGTTATTTGTTTTTTCTTTGTTGTTAAGTACAAGGCTACACGATGGGCTACCTGTGCTGTGCCATCACGAGTATCGAAACCCGATTTTTAACTTTATAAGCTTCCAGACTTGTTGCTGGTCCACTGGGGGCGGTAATACTATTAATAAATGTTAGTACTGTCTCAGAAAAATCACTTCTGTCGGTCTAGTATGAATCTTTGATTAATATCTATAACAGTTTTTTGCAATACTTTTTAATATGACGCCAGGATTCATTCTATATAATTTATATTATTAAAGTTACTTCTATTTCGTTTTCATAAATATCTGTGATCTCCAGCTTAAAAGTGGATGTGTGTGTGTGTTTTTCTGTAGTTAATATCAGAACCATAAATATATCATGTTATTTGCGATTTTATTCTATCCTCTCATGTTCTCGAAATAATAAAACACATTTCACTTGGTTGTCATGACAAATATACATGCTCATGGATATATATCGAAATTATGTGTCGTAACGTGCCTGGGACTTTTTGAAACTCGAGAGCTAAGGGAAACTCATTTTCTCAAGTCTTTGTTTTCTTTAATAGAAGCAAATCATTCCTCTCATTTTATCGATATAAAATGTAAGATAATAAAAGCACACTGTGGGTTGTTGATGTGATGCAAGGAATCAAGTGTCAAATAACGTGAGACATGCTCCATGTTTCTATAGCAACATCTACATCTTTACCGGTCATTACTATGGTTACCAATGTATACTGGGAAGGAATGATCATGTATCATTTTTTAATTTATACATACCTATGTACGTATAAATATGTATTAGCTCATGTCAGGTGAATCATTCCAGGAGCTCTTAGGCAATGCTTTATCAAGTTGATTTGAAAGTACCATATTGCGACTTGACTCGAGCTATTTCTGAAATAGAGATGTTGAGACTACTTTTTATGTGACAAGAAAAAAAGGTATGCGTTATGTGAACGTAAAGTTCTTAACTGTAAAGTTTTAAGGGTACAGTATATTTTTTCATTGAATTTTATCAAACAAGATAAATATTTAGCTATTAAAATAAAATTAATATTGTTTTTTCAAGTAATAATACTATTTAATTAAGATAATTCGAATGAAAT